AAAAAAAAAACCATTGTGGATCTCGCCCTCCTTCCAACAGTATTCCACATTTTCTCTAAGAAGTTTAGTAATGCATCTTTAAAGAACTACTCCTATGATTTTGCTTCAATTCCAATCGATGATCAGCCCACTATCAAGATCATACTATCACAATATAATTTTTAACTAAATCTTCTATTAGACCTCAACAAATCTCTTAAGGTCATCCCTCCACTCCAACAGTACCCCAAGTTTCCTCTAGGACGTTTAACAATACCTTCTAGAACAACTAGTCCTTTGATTTTGCTTCAATTCCAATTGATGACCAGGCCACCATCAAGATGAGATTTTCACAATATAATTTTCAACTTAATCTTCCATTAGACCTCAAAAACACTCCTTGTAGACCTTAATCCTCTTCACCAGTATTCCAAATTTTTCAAGGAAGTTTAGCAATGTCCTCTAGAAGAACTACTCCTTTGATTTAGTTTCAATTCCAATCGGTGGTCATCTCATCATCAAGATGACAATGTCACAATATAATTTTTAATTAAATCTTATATTAGACCTCAAAAAACCTCTTGAGGGCCTCTCTCCACTCCATCAGTACACCAAGTTTCCTCTAGGACGTTTAATAATACCTTCTAGAAGAACTACTCCATTGATTTTGTTTCAACTCCAATCGATGGTCATCTCACCATCAAGATGAGATTATCACAATATAATTTTCAACTTAATCTTCTCTTAGACCTCAAAAAAACTACTTGTAGACCTTAATCCTCTTCACCAGTATTCCAAATTTTCTCAAGGAAGTTTAACAATATCTTCTAGAAGAACTACTCCTTTGATTTAGCTTCAATTCCAATCGATGGCCATCGCACCATCAAGATGAGATTATCACAATATAATTTTCAACATAATCTTCTATTAGACCTCAAAAACACTCCTTGTGGACCTTAATCCTCTTCACCAGTATTCCAAATTTTCTCAAGGAAGTTTAGTAAGGTCTTCTAGAAGAACTACTCCATTGATTTTGTTTCAATTCCAATCGATGGTCAATTCACCATGAAAATTAGATTATCACAATATAATTTTTATCTAAATCTTCTATTAGACCTTAAACAAAACCCTTGTGAGCCTAAATCCTCTCCACTAGTATCTCGAAGTATCTCTAGGAAGTCCAACAATGCCTTCTTGAAGAACTACTCATTTGGTTTTGCTTCAATTCCAAACGATAGTCACCCCAACATCAAGATAAGATTCTCAAAATATTCCTTCTTTGTTTACATTTCATATTATGCCATAAAAATCCCCTGATATACCCCCTCCCCCCTATCCATCAGTATTCCAAACTTTTTCTGACAGTTTAGCAACAGGTCCCCAAAAATTTGGCAATCACCATTGTAAACTGATACTTGGTAGTTGACATGTGCCATATTATCCTTACACCTCCTTCAAAGAGACAATCGTGTTGATGCATACAAACAAGTAATTTTACAAGTACGACCTTGAGTGGCGTTAAACACCTCTGTTTGTATGTAGGATCCATGTGTACAGGTATGTATGTATAATTCTATGGGTCGGTCGGTGGTCCGAAATTCGCTTGTAACAGCGACAACCTACGCGTTTTCATCAGTGCAGTGTAATAGTATGTCAAGGTCCTAAATAGGAAGGAACAGCTTGACCCAGATTGGGCACGATCAGTTTCCAAATTAAATTGATTTCTAACAATCAAGGTCAACGTCTCCCTACCTTACAACACTCACTGTCAGCGAATACTAGGTAGATTGATCATGTTACACGGATTGTAATAAAATTAAAACAATTACCACTTAATGGTATTACTATTTCGATTTAATTCAATGCTACATGGAGTACATACACTGACTCATTCCACTCGAACTTGTATTTTGCCCTACAACAACAGTAAACTAGTTTTTTTTATAGCTTTCAAGCTTCCTATAAATTCAACATTGCTTCATCTCGATTAGTTGCATTTAGTGATTCTTGTGGCTAGAATTTTAGTCACGTAGTATGTATCAACTATGTGACCGATCATCCCGCACTCTTTGTTAATGAATATAGAATGACAATACCTTCAATTTGATAAAATACCAATTCCAAATCATCTAGACATCAGAAACAATAACTTTAAACCACTTTAACAGTGAAAGCTTTCCTGAATTAGAATGAAACAACAAAATTTTACTAACATTTACAAGTTATTCCCCCCCTATCAGTCACTGTAAGCTCGAAACTGACAGCACCATTGCTTCAAGTGGTCGAAATTCACTTTTGTGAACGATTTGTTTAATTCTTTGTGTTAAAAATAATTTGAAAAATTAAATTTAAAGGAATTGTTTGTTAATAGGTATGCAACACATCGTACACTTCAGCATAAGAAATTGCTCATACTAACTACGTAATACTACTTTGCCTTGTGCTTACAGCACATCATATATAATATTCAACACTCGCTACGTAATTCGCCTTGTATTAGAGGCATCATCAACAATTATATTGTGTATTTTATTAAATTGTACAAGTACATTACATTAAATTTATTGAAAGCTTTCTGCTTCGTTTTTTGAATTTTTACGAATGAAAATTCTAATTTTCATTCACATTTCATAAAACTGGTAATCTATTAATGTTGCTATTCGTTGATAAAAAGCTTTTTATTTAAATCGCCCGAGTAATTAGTATGTAATAAGGTTAAATGTCGCCTTTAAATATGCTACTTAAGATGCGTTCTAGGACAATCTTTGAAACAATAATAATTGGTAATCAACCATCAAAGGCTGTTACATAAAAAAAAGCACTGACAGTTAACCCAACAAAATTTATATCAATATTCAGCGACGGTTTTGAGTTACTCATAAAGAAAATTTTAGCATATTTTTATTTTCTAACTTACCTTACAACAATAAGCCATTACAATGAAGCTAAAGAAGTGATAATTTAATCGTATGTAATTTATTCAATTCTTGAATCAAATTACGTTATTGTTATCGTATCATACGCCTTCTTAAATCCTTTCAAAGCAAATTTGAAACCGTTTAATAATTTTATTACTAGACAATAATTAATATTATAGCAACTATTGTTGATAAAGCAGCATAGATATCTACAATTTCCTTTCTCATCGTTTAAAACAGATGTCCTTTATTTATTATTATCCACACGTGTCATGTACACATGCAAAATCATTACCACACAACGCTTTATCAGAAAAGTTTTGTAATTTTTAATTCGATTCATAAATGGTTTGATTCAACATTTGTCAACATTTAATCCAATTGTTGTTCTTATTGGCAATCTGTTGTTCGTCATCTAATATAATATACAAATACATGTATACCATCGCGTTTTGCAATTTATAATTATTTATGATAATGATTGACCACATAGATAAATTCGTTATATCATATTACTGATAACAGGTCGTTGGCCTCGTGGAAATATCAGTTGTATTTATAACTTGTAATTGCATGCCAGTTTTTATTGATTTGTAAAAAAGTATTCAACACGATTGTTAACAAACAAACAATCCGAAATACATACATAGATAAAACTGTAGAAAATAAACTCTTATTACTTTCTTTAATCCGCGAAAAAATTATCTCTTTGTCACAAGTGTTTTGTTAGTGTTTAAAAATAACTAATTTTTATTCCTCAAAATTGATAAAAATAAAATTTGTTGTTTGTTGTTATTTCATAGATTAATTTTAGAATTGTTTTCAAACTTTTCCTTCTCAGACGTGAGGTAGACGACCATTATTATGTGTACACATATATGAAATTCTTGTGAATAAACAGGCCAATTAATAAAAACAGCATTTTACAACGTCTAGTTGATTAAGAAGAAAGAACAGTAACCCCTGAAATACTTTTTTGTAAATATCAATTATATTTTTAAATCTATTTATGTCTGGAAAAATACGCAAATACTTGGAGGTTTCTGTAACTGTATTTACAATATTCTATTGCACGTATGAATTATCAAAAGGGCGGCATCATTTTTAAAAGGTACGTACTTTATTACATAATTATCACTTTTCGAAGAGTAGTAAATGCCTTCCATCTTCCAATAATTTCACGAGCGCTTTGTTATTTTTAAATCATTTTATATATTTTAACGAAAATAGTGCCGAAAAGTGCCTATTTGACACCGCACTCGGAAACCGTTGGCACCATGAGATTCTACGTACTTTTCTACATAATATTCATTTCTTAAAGCTTAGTGAATGCCTTTCATCTTCCAATAATTTCACGAGCGCTTTTTTATGTTTAAAT